CCATCCAGATAAAAAGTGTGTTTTTTAAAAAGAAAGAAAGAAACTAAAACCCAGCCCCAGCCTTTCAGAGTGATTAATCCCCACTAATGATTTACCGATTTGCAGAGAGCGTGTTCTGCATAACTGGATTGTGGGCATTAACGCCAGCTCAGAGGCTGCCATTCTGCTAAAAATGAAAGTAAATTTCAAGAGCAATTGATCACCCCTAATTTGAATATGCTATTGATACACTGGGAGGACACCCCCATAGGCCTAGGGAGTTAGGCGGGGGAGGAAATTCAAGAAAAGCTTCATCCCAAAGAAATATTTCACTTTCCATCCCTCCTTCCCTTCACCAAGACAGAGAGTGGGAATCTGAGATCAAATAAGTGAGACTGCTTCTTTCCCCTCTGCCAAAGGTAGCAAGGTCCCTTCTACCACTTTCCTCCTCTGTCCTAGGCTCTAGGGAGCACAGGAAGGACAGAATAAGTACAGGATACCTGGAGGGGCTGAGTCTAGATGGAAAGAGCAGGGGCTTGAGAACACAAAATGGAGATCACATCCCATGTGGGAAGACCTTTAGGATGGTGGTTAGCACCACAAATCTGTCCAGCTGGTGCCCACCTGCACAGAGGCAGCGGGTAGACAAGATAACCCTGGCACCTCACTACTACCACCTCCCAAGACTAGGAATCTGTGACAGTCCGGACCCTGCCAGACTAGCTTAGAAGAGCAGGGCAGCAAGCCCCAGTGGGTGTGGTCACTCCCAACACCCTTTAGCAAGAACTGGTTGGAGGAGCCAACAGATTCCACTCCTGCTCACACAGCCTCTTACTCACCCCAGACACTCGGGGAGAAAACCAAGCTGTGCTTTCCTTTCCTAAGTTTCCACCCTCTCAAGCAGTCCAACAGAGACCATCCTGCGCAGCTTACAGATGAAGATACTGAGGGTCGCAGAGATTAGGGGGCTGAGACTGGGCCAGTGTTATCCAACAGGCCTGAGTCAGGGCCAAGATGGGACCCCTGACTCCCAAGCCAGGCAGCCTGAAAATGCAAGGTCTAGGGCATGAGGAGAAGACTGGCAGAAGGAAGTGGAAGTGGGCTGTGAGTGCTGCCCCAGCCCAGCCAGCCTCAGACAAAGACTCAATGCCCACGCACATGGAAGGGCTCCTTCGGCAGCCCTCCCCTTGCGCCCCATCTCTCCTCTCTTTGCCTCTTCTCAGCCTTCCTGGCTTGCAAGGAATGCAGGCAGAGTGTCCTGGAGCCTGTCTTCCCCCAGCACTGAAAAGGCCTGGGGTCCACAGCTGCATCCGCTCTCAGCACATCCTGGACTCCTAACCAACTGACTGACTGAGGGCTCAGAGACCAAAGGGGAAAAGCAGCCAGACCCAGCTGCCTCCAGGAGATGCTAAGCAAGACTGTGCCTCTTTTTCCTTCCCAAATCTGTGCTCAGTGTGCTATTGTGTAGGTTCCTCCATTTGGGATGTGTGCCTGGAATATTACAGTGCATATGTGGCCACCAGGGTGCCGATGGCAACAGCCTCATGAGTGTGGTTGTGTTTGAGAGGCTGTGTCTGAGTTTCCCAGGGTGGAGGTTTGTGTCTGTGACCTGGTGCTTTGCAGAGAGTATATGGGGCTGGGGCTTGTGTAGCTGCCGTTCCTCCCTGCAGACCCTCCTCCCCCACACCCCCTGCAGCCCCTCCAGCTCAGAGACCCCCCACAGTGAGGGCCCCATCTGCTGGAGGCTCAGTGACCTGTGTCAAATGAGCAGGCGCTCGGTCACACTCCAGAGCCTAGAGGAGGCTGCTCCACTCTGGGAAAGCCTGCACAGCTCCTGCCTGGGGGCGGACTGGGCAGGGACCCTGCTGGGGAGGGAGGCCCAGGAGCCTCTGAGACTGGCGGCGGCCTGGCTGGGAGCTGCCCTCCACAGACAAGGAGAGTGGAAAAAAATATGAAAAGAAAGGACTTCCCTGTCTCCTTGGGACAAGCGATGCTGCCAAACCACATGGACTAAACTCTAGGCTGGGCACAGCCCCTTCCTCTGCTTCCTAATCCCTTGTGTGAATCTGGGTGCATATGTCTGTGTGTCTACGTGATGTGTGTGCAGTGGGCCTCTTTGTATCTGTGCATATGGGTGGGAGGGTGTGCATGGACGGCACTGTGTGCTCACATGTGTGAATACAAAGGTGCGCCTGTGTGTGAATCAGCATGCCAGCTGAGGGTCTCCACGTTTGTGAGCCCAAGGGCCTACAGGTCTCACATATCTCTGTGTCACTGGCGGAATGCCCACTTGAGTTTATTTCAGCCCATGTGAGGGTTCTGTAATGTCCCTGTTTAGACACAGGCCTGTATTTATCACTGGGTTTTTCTTTGTGTGACTAGGAATATTTGGCCTAATGATGTAAATCTACCTGTCCCTATTATGAGTCTGTATGTTTGTCCCTGTGCTGAATTGCACATTTGTATCTGTGTGTCGTGTGTGCGTATGTGTGTGAATGCACATCTGTTTGCATGCTGGCACCATTCTGTCTGCGTGGGTCAGGTGGGCACCTGACTTCTGTGTCTACGTGTTGTGGGTCTGGGGTCCTGAGTTCTCCCCAGAGTCTGTGAAGGTGATGCTCCTGGAGAGAGGGGCTGTTTGGCTGCAGGTGTCTCTGCCAGTGGCCTGTCACAGCCCCATGTCCCACGGAATCTCCAGCAACAAGAGTGAGGAGGATGTCACGACTTCCTGGGAGAAACTTAACTCTCAAACACAGGAAAGTTTTAACTCGAGACCAAATCCATATCACTGTAGAGGGTCTAAAATTTCCAAAGCCAACAAAGGGATTTTATCTTCCCTAGTTTACGCTGCTGCTCACCTCAGGGCAGCATCTAACATTTAAAAGGCACCTAAATTACATATCTTATTACATCCTTGGAGCCTTAGAGCAATCCTGAGAAGCAGGCACTACTGTCCCCATTTTAAGATGAAGAAACTGATGCTCCAAGAGGAAAGTCACAAGGCCACTAATATGGGTGATAGGATTGAGACAGATTTTTTGGGTGACAAGCTGGTAACCCAGGAGCCTAGCTATTGTTTTACTGCAGACACCCCTCAATTCAGCACAGACCTAGGAACACAGCTTTGAGAGCCCCAGCAGGCCCTGGCCTGTCCCCCAGAGAGCTACCAGAGATAGGGAAACAGTCTCTCTCTGCTGTGATGGCTAAAGCTGCAGCCTCCACAGGCCCCCTCCCCCATTCCACAGCAAAGGGGAGAATGGTGACGAATGGGAACTCACAGGTCCTGTGCCCTTGGACGAGTCTCAGTTCCCTCATCTATGCAATGAGGATAATAGTCTCAGTGCTCTCTCACAGGGCTGAGAGGTACAAGTAAATCGGTGAATAGAAAGCACTTTGTAAAGCAGCATGTTCATTGGTCATTGCTCTTCAAGCCTCAGTGGCAGTTCCAAAGGCTAGACATCACAACACCTACCCACTGTCCAGACATTTCCCTTCCACCAACAGAACTGGGACAGATTTATAAAATCACAGACCATCAGAGCTGGAAGGGCCTGAGTGGCCTGAGAGGTCAATTGTCCCAAACCTCCACAATCCCACTCTCCAGATAAGGAAGCTCAGATTTAGTTAGAGAGGGGGAATACCTTGCCCACTCACTGGACAGCAACAATAGGAACAAGCAGAATAAAAGTCCTTTCTGAGAGCTTTTCACCCCCATTGTCTCATACCACTACCTGACTTGACATAGCGAGCCAATTTACAGGAAGGAAACCCAACAGCTAGACAGACTGGACCAGAGTTATTTTTGCCAGGATGATAGTGGCAGCTCCAGGTTGGAAACCCAAGCTTTGATGTCACACAGGCCTGGTTAGGGATGGTATAAGAAGAGACTTCACTGTTGGATTTCCAGCCTTGGTCCTACCTCCTGGGACTGGGAGAGGGACCAGAGAAGCAAGTGGACTAGGAGGACCTGGGCTGCCTCACCTGCCTCAAGGTGACCACTTCCTGGGCCAGAGTCCAGGAAAGCCCAGCATCCCTAGCTGGGTTCACACACAGGGCTCTATGACAGCTCTTACAGCTAGGGTGGAACCTAAACAGACTTATAACAGTGGCCAATGGCCAGACAAGGACCATGCCCTGTCTCACTCCTTCCCTTGGGAGATAACCGGAGGCTGGTCCTAGGGCATTCAGGGACCAGATGAGCACAGTCTGTGCCCAGGGTGACCTCATCACTGTCAACTCTATCTCAGCCACCCCAGATCATCCCCGCTGCAGCTGCCATCTCAGCCCCTATGCCCTTTCTTCACACATTGAGGCTTTATTCCACAGTCTAGGAGGGGAGTGGGATGGACTCGGAGCTGGGCAACAAGTACCTCAGAAATCCAGCGTGCAGGCCAGGAGCTGTCCAGCCTTGCATGGAGCCCTGGGCTGGAGTTATCCAGCATTTGCCTGGGGCTGCTGAAAAGGAAATCAAGATTACGGAGGCCTTGCTGGAAAGGTTGCCCAGCAGGGCCCTAGCTAGGCCCCCAGCTCAGTTCTGTGATCTGGGACCCCAGGTCCCTGGAATCTATGAGTCCGTTTGAGGCAACATCAGGGAGAGAAAAGAGGTGGAACTGGCAACTGGAAGATTCCCTGAGACCCAAGCCTCAGTGTAGGGAAGAGGAAGAGGCTACAGTTCACTCCACTCAGCCTGGAGCCCAATGTGGGGTAAAGAGACACAGAGGAGCTGCAGGGAGGTCTGACTCCACTCAGGATCCTTCGGGGAGTCCTTAAAGAGCTGGGAGCACGTGGAGGAAGCCGAATTCCACAGCCCACCTTTCCAGCGCGGCCTCCTCAGTCTCGATTTCCTTGTCAGCAGCCCCAGGCAAATGCGGGCAAGCTCCAGCCCAGGGCTCCGTGCGAGGCTGGACAGCTCCCGGCCTGCACGCTGGATCTCTGAAGTGCCAGTTGCTCTTCCCGGAGTCCATCCACTCCCCTCCTAGAGCAAGTTTCCCTGGAGCGTGACCTCGCCCTGACCAGAGCCAATGCGGAAGGGAGTGAGAAGGCTGCAACGGTACGGGACGGATACCCTGTGCCCAGGGCCTATCACCCCCTCCAGCGATGTTTTCCTCGGAGCCAGAGTCACCACCTTGAGGTCCTCTCATTCCGGAATCCCGGGACGCGGCCGGGTTACAGGAGCTCCGGGTAGAACCGCTGCCGCCCCCGAGCCCCCCGCGCGGTACTCACCTGGCCGCAGCACCCGGGAGAAGAGGTGCCCGCGCGAGGCGTGAAGCCCGTGTCAGTTCGACTCTGCTCGCGCCCGACGCGCTCCCAGGGCCGCAGAGGTCGGCAGAATTGCGGCGCGGGGGCTAGAGGGAAAAGAGGGAAAACCAGGCCCGGGAGGCGCGCAGTGGAACGCTCCGTGCACGCTGGAAGCCGCGGGAGGCGAGGCGGGCGAGGTGAGCAGCCGCGCCGGAACCGAGCCAGGAACCCGCGCCGCCTCGCGCTCGCAGCCGCTGAGATCCGCGGGAATCCCGGCCCGCCGGCCGCGGCACTGCGGAGGGAGCAGCGCTGGGCTGAGCCGCTTCTCGGCGCCCGAGCGCCTCCCGGAGCCCGCAATCCCCGCCGCCGCCTCTGGCCGCCCTTGCGGGATGCGGGCGGGAATTCAGCTCGCGTGGAGTGTGGGACCGGCCGGGCTCGGAGTATCCCACTCTGAGGGAAAGCAGGCCCACGCAGCAGGGCGAGAGGGGGTGCGGTCCCAGTGCCACCCCCGCGCCACTCCCCACGTGGCGGCCGCGCCCCCGGGGCGTGAGTGTGTACGCCAACAGCAGGGGGGCCGTGAATGAAGCCCCAGCGGCCAATCAGCACGGTCGGCACGCGGGACCCCAGGAGCGAAACCCAATGGCGAGCTCGGGGCGGCCGGGCCGGGTGGCAGGCGGGCACGGGGGGCGGGGGCCGAGACCGGGGG